TTTGGAGTTGGAGTTGGAGTCTCACTCTGTCACCCAGGCTGGAGTGCAGTGGCATGCTCACAACCACCGCAGCTCGACCTGCTGGACTCAGGTGATCCTTCCACCTCAGCCTTCCAAGTAGCTGGAACTACAGGCACACACCACTACACCCGGCTGAGTTTTTGTTTTATTGTAGAGATGAGGTCTCCCCAAGTTGCCTAGGCTAGTCTCAAACCCGTGGGCTCAGGCAATCCTCTCATCTTAGCTTCCCAATGTGCTGGGATTATAGGCGTGAGCCACCATTCCTGGCAGAGATTTTCAACAGAAATTCATAAAATGAAGAACATTCTTTGAGAAGAGTCAAATCACCTGTATAATAATTGCTGCCATTTTGGAAGCATGGGCAGGACCTTGATAAAGAAAGGCTTAGGAAACACTCTCATTGGTCCTCCAACCACCCAATGAGAAGAGGGACCTGAGATTCTCTGATGTCAAGGCCACCATACTTATTAGTGATATAACCATGATTCAAGCCCAGGTCTGTCCTACATTTATTCTGCTGGTCCTTTTTTACTTTTTTATTTTTTTTTATTTTTTATTTTTCTTTCATTTTCTGGTTACTGCTCATCCAGCACAGGCATCCATGCAAAGTTACTCTTTTTTTTTTTTTTTGAGTTGGAGTCTCACCCTGTTGCCCAGACTAGAGTGCAGTGGCCGCTTCCGGCCACCGCAGCCTCAACCTGCTGGGCTCCGGGATCTTTCCGCCTCCCCTTCCAAGTAGCCGGAATTACAGGCATGCGCTACCACGCCCAGTTGATTTTTTGATTTATTGTAGAGATAAGGTCTTGCTGCCCAGGCGGGTCTCGAACCCGCGGGCTCAGGCAATCCACTCACCTCAGCCTCCCAAAGGCGCGGGATTACAGGCTGAGCCACCAAGCCTGGCCTATTTTTTTTTTTTTTGAGTTGGAGTCTCACTCTGTCACCCAGACTGGAGTGCAGTGGCCGCTCCCGGCCACTGCAGCCTCGACCTGCTGGGCTCCAGCGATCATTCCGCCTTAGCCTTCCAAGTAGCCGGAATTACAGGCATGCGCTACCACACCCGGCTGATTTTTTTTTTTTGGTTTATTGTAGAGATGAGGTCTCGCCGCCCAGGCAGATCTCGAACCCTTGGGCTCAGGCAATCCACTCACCTCAGTCTCCCAAAGGCGCGGGATTACAGGCTGAGCCACTGAGCCCGGCTCTTTTTTACTTTTTTGTTTAAAAAAAAAAGTTGAATCAGGCATGGTGGCTCACATCTGTAATCCCAGCACTTTGGGAGGAGGTGGAGGTGAGAGGATTGCCTGAGCCCAGGGATTCAAGACCAGCCTGGGCCGAAAAGAAAAGAAAGCTCTTTACAGATTTTTTTTTTTTTTTGAGTCAGAGTCTCATTCTGTTGTCCGGGCTGGAGTACAGCAGCACAATCACAGCTCACTGCAGCCTCCAACTCCTGGGTTCAAGCAATCCTCCTGCATCAGCCTTTTGAGTAGCTGGGACTATAGGTGCACATCACCATGCCTGACTAATTATTTTGTAGAGACAGTCTCACTATGTTGCCCAGGCTAGGATCCCAGCCTCCCAAAGTGCTGGGATTACAGCTTTACAAAATTGGAAAGTAACATATCATTTATATTAAAGATATTGTCCCTAGTTTGTTATTTTCTTCATTTGGATTTTTGTTTGGCCAAAACGTATTGCCTTTTCTTAATGCTTTCTGGATTTGATTAATGTTTGTTCATCAATTTAGCAAATATTTATTAATCACCTATCTTATGCCAAGTATTGTGCTAGATACTAGGAATCCAAACACGTGTGCCAGATAGACTGATCCTGACTTTATGGGTCTTATAATCCAGGTGTAGAACCAGACTTAAAATCCTTCTTACTCCATGAATATTAAATGTTTCACCTACATTTTTTACTAGTAGCTAACTCCTATGAGTCTCATTCCATCTGATTCTATGCCTTTCTCTGTTGGTCCTCTGCCTGCAGGTGTCCTGGTAAAGGTGGTGGAGGTGTACTTCTGTGAGCGTTGTGAACAAAGCTTCGCAGAGCCCACTCTGCTGGCACTGCACCAGTGCAGTGAGACCCATGTACAGCCTGTGCAGGGCCTCTCTAGCACCCCATGCTCTGCAGAGCTGCGCCCCAGCAACCTTACTCTCCCTGACTCACTGCAGGGCCAGAGCCCACCAGATAGCCCCCTATCATGCCCTGTGTGTAGACAGGAGTTTGCCCAACCCCAGGCCCTGAAGAGCCACTTCAAGATTCACCGGGTTGCTCCTGATACCTTCTCCTGCCCAGAATCTGGCTGTGTGTTCTCTGCTGAAGATCGCAAGGGTCTGCAGCACCACCTGAAGCAGACCCACACAGCAGTACCTGTACCCTGTTCTTTCCGGGGCTGCCCTCTGCTTTTCGGGAGCCAGCAGGGCATGGAGCTGCATCGGCAGGCCCATTACCCTTTCCACTGCAGCCATTGCAGCTTCATGGGCTCCAATGTCAAACTCTTCCGGCAGCATCAGCGGAGCCATGAGGCCAGGATGCAGGGAAAACTTATTGCCGTTCAAGGTCTTCCATCCCAGGAGCTGCTGCCAGGTATGAGGCCAGGGGCCAACTCCTGGAGTTCAGCCACATTGATCTTATAGGAGAGGCTGGTGTTTCCATAAATGAGTTTAAGGGAATCTAGATAGCACTCAGGAGGATAGAATTACTGGGTGGCATGGTAAGGCATCTAAAAACCTTGAACCAGTCAGAATATATGGGACAAGAAGGAAGTCCTTGACAATGAGGGAAATTTTACTTAGGCCATATGTGGCCTGAAGTTACTGGTTAAATACTGATTAAATATTCTCTGTTGATCAGTCTCTAAACATCATTGGCTATGGCCATGGTAGAATGCCTGTAGTTGTTTCTTTAGAGCATTTGGGATTGGGGATTGGTCAAGAGAAGCTGGCGTTATTTTTAAAAGGAAACTTCATCCGGGCTCGGTGGCTCAGCCTGTAATCCCGCGCCTTTGGGAGGCTGAGGTGAGTGGATTGCCTGAGCCCTTGGGTTCAAGACCCACCTGGGCAGCGAGGCCTCATCTCTACAATAAATCAAAAAATCAGCCGGGCGTGGTAGCGCATGCCTGTAATTCCGGCTACTTGGAAGGCTGAGGTGGAAGGATCACCGGAGCCCAGCAGGTCGAGGCTGCAGTGGCCAGAAGCAGCCACTGCACTCCAATCTTGGCGACTGAGTGAGACTCCAACTCAAAAAAAAAAAAAAAGGAAACTTCGAGGGAGTTGGTGTTTTACTGATTTTTACTTCTTGTGGTCCTCAAAGAAAAGAGCATGGAGTGAGCAGAGGAACAGTAAGAAACAGAAAACAACCCAGGAGAAGCCAGGATTCTGATGAGAGATCTTTGCTTGCTAACACTTAACTTGTGCTCTGATGCCTAAAGAGAAGACATTTTTCCTGGGAAGTAGTCATATGTCTTTGCTTACTCAGGCAGCTACCTCTGTTAGGGAATAGAAGGGAAGGATTTGAGGGGGCAAGCTGTGACCCTGAATTTCTGAGTTGGGTTTCTCAGTAGAACAGTTTAGAGATCAGGATATGGTTACCTGCACTGAGCACCAGCCATTAGCCCTGGAGACCTGATCCAAGGAATTGTAGTCTACCCATTTTCTACTTTCAGCCCTCTACCACTACCCCAGTGACCTCAAAGCTCTTAACTTTAAGGGTTCTGAAACTGGTGCTATCCCAGCTTTGATTTACTTCAGACTGGAGCTTTGTTGATAACTTAGCTCCTGGTCTTCTGTTTCTGTCTTGAGTGAGAATAAGTTTGTTTACTTAAAACCCACAGATGTTTTTATGCTAAAAGGGAAGAAAAGTGATTCTTTCAGCCAGGAAGTGGAGAAATACAAGCATTCAGTGCTGTCATTGACTCCTGTAAACTTTATCAAGTTTTATGTGTCCCCAGCCCCCAAACTGGCTCCAGGAGAGGGTGCACCTTCACAGGAAGCAGGTACACCCTTGCCTGGGCAGGAAGCAGCTAACCAGGAGGACACAGAGGAAGAAGAGAAGAGTGACACCCAGAAGGACTCCCAGAAAGCCTTGGATAAAAGCCAAAGGGTTCAGCATCTGAAAGGTAATGACATCATTAGGCTTGAAGCCCTTGGTGGTGAGGAGAAATGAATTGTGAAGAGCCTGGCATTGAGGCTCTAGAGTTTGTTTTCTGAGCTTTGATTCAGATCCTTCCTTTTTTTTTTTGAGTTGGAGTCTCACTCTGTCACCCAGACTGGAGTGCAGTGGCCACTCCCGGCCACCGCAGCCTCAACCTGCTGGGCTCCGGTGATCCTTCCACCTCAGCCTTCCGAGTAGCTGGAATTACAGGCATGTGCTACCTACCATGCCCGGCTGATTTTTTGATTTATTGTAGAGATGAGGTCTCACTGCCCAGGCTTGTCTCGAACCTGTGGGCTCAGGCAATCCACTCACCTCAGCCTCCCAAAGGCGCGGGATTACAGGCTGAGCCACCGAGCCCAGCTATTTTTTTTTTAATTCTACCTTGACTCACAAGTCAAGGTCTAGTGGGAGAATGACAAATGAATAAGTATTAAAGACTAGTAGCATAGTGTAAGGGTAAATAGAATTGCTTTTCTGAACTGGTTTTCCAAAGGCAGCAAACTTTAGAGGGAAGGAGGGGATGATGGTCAGTAGCCTGTTTTGTTTGGCATTGAGCCCCCTAATATTTTTTTCTGAATCCTTGCTTCCTAGTTTTTCTTTTCTTTCTTTCTTTTTTCTTTTTTTTTTTTTTTTTTTTTTTTTGAGTTAGAGTCTCATTCTGCCAAGGCTGGAGTGCAGTGGCATGCTCACAGCCACCGCAGCCTCAACCTGCTGGGCTCAGGTGATCCTTCTGCCTTAGCCTTCCAAGTAGCTGGAACTACAGGCACGTACCACTGTGTCCAGCTAATTTTTTTTTTTTTTTGGAGTTGAAGTCTCAGTCTGTCACCCAGACTGGAGTGCAGTGGCCGCTCCCGGCCACCGCAGCCTCGACCTGCTGGGCTCCGGCAGATCCTTCCGCCTCAGCCTTCCAAGTAGCTGGAACTACAGGTGCGCGCTACCACGCCCGGCGAATTTTGTTTGATTTATTGTAGAGATGAGGTCTCACCAAGTTGCCCAGGCGGGTGTCAAACCCGCGGGCTCAGGCAATTCATGCACCTCAGCCTCCCAAAGCATGGGATTACAGGCTAAGCCACCGAGCCCAGCTTAATTTTTTTTATTTAGTGTAGAGACAAGGTCTCGCCAAGTTGCCCAGGCTGGTCTCGAACCCCTGGACTCAGACAGTCCTCTCACCTTGGCCTCCCAAAGTGCTGGGATTACAGGCTTGAGTCACTGCACCCAGCCCCCAGTATTTTACCTCAGTAGAATGTTTGAAACCCATCCTACAGGGAGCATATTTGCTGTCAGGTGAATAAGAAAGTTCTGATTATATTTATTACCAACTCATTATTAGCTAGAGCCCAGTGAGCCAGTGTTTACAAATAAAAATACTTGACCAGGCTTGGTGGCTCAGTCTGTAATCCCAGCACTTTGGGAAGCCAAGGCGAGTGGATTGCCTAAGCCCGTGGGTTCGAGACTCACGTGGGCAACTTGGCGAGACATCATCTCTACAATAAATCAAAAAAATTAGCTGGGCATGGTAGCACGCGCCTGTAGTTCCAGCTACTTGGAAGGCTGAGGCAGAAGGATCGCCAGAGCCCAGTGGGTCGAGGTTGCGGTGACCAGGAACGTGCCACTGCACTCCAGTCTGAGTGACAGAGTGAGACTCCCAACTAAAAAAAAAAAAGAAATAAGAATACTTGACCTTTCAACTCATTCCTTTGGGGCCTATTTTCCTTCTAACCAACCTTGCTGACCCTTCTGCCTGCCCCCATAGAACAAGAGCAGGAAAGAACAAGATTGCTTTCTTCAGATTATTCTTCTGAGGCTCAGGACTAGCGAGTGATTGGGTAAGGTACTTCAAATAGGCCACAGCAAGGTCTGAGAAGTCCTGTGATTTTGCTTCTCTTAATACCTGAGTTTTTCGTCTCTTCTTTGAGACTGTAATGTTTGTGACTCTATTTCTTGGTTTCCTAGAGAGAAAGGCCACATTTTGTGTCTGGGCAAATTGTGGTTCGCCCATCGCCTGGCTAGCCCCTGACCTAGGGAAGAGTCTCTCTTTCTCATCTCTCTCTGTACTCCGTCTCACAGGGGATATGGCTTCTGGCACTGAGTCCCTCTTCAAGACACACATGTGTCCAGAGTGCAAGCGCTGCTTTAAGAAGCGGACCCATCTGGTGGAGCATCTGCACCTCCACTTCCCAGACCCCAGCCTCCAGTGCCCCAACTGCCAGAAGTTCTTCACCAGTAAAAGCAAGCTCAAGACCCATCTGCTGCGGGAGCTGGGTGAGAAGGCCCACCGCTGTCCGTTGTGCCACTACAGTGCAGTGGAGAGGAATGCACTCAACCGCCACATGGCCAGCATGCATGAGGATATTTCCAACTTCTACTCAGACACCTATGCCTGTCCTGTCTGCCGGGAGGAATTCCGCCTCAGCCAGGCCCTCAAGGAGCACCTCAAAAGTCATACAGCAGCAGCTGCAACAGAACCACTACCCCTTCACTGCTTTCAGGAGGGCTGCAGCTATGCTGCACCTGACCGCAAGGCCTTTGTAAAGCACCTGAAGGAGACCCACGGGGTGCGAGCTGTGGAGTGCCGCCATCACTCATGTCCCATGCTGTTTGCCACAGCTGAAGCCATGGAGGCCCACCGCAAGAGCCACTATGCCTTCCATTGCCCGCACTGTGACTTTGCCTGCTCCAACAAGCACCTGTTTCGTAAACACAAGAAGCAGGGCCACCCTGGCAGTGAAGAGCTGCGCTGCACTTTCTGCCCCTTTGCCACCTTTAACCCAGTGGCCTACCAGGACCACGTAGGCAAGATGCATGCTCATGAGAAGATCCACCAGTGCCCTGAGTGCAACTTTGCCACTGCCCACAAGAGGGTGCTCATCCGACACATGCTACTCCATACTGGTAAGATAGCTTCCAGCCTTAAAATAATGTAGTATTAATGATGATGATGGTAATGGCTAACATGAGCTCCAGCTGTGTACCAGACACCACACAAAGGGCCTTGCATACATTGTCTCATTTGACCCAGAATTCCGAGAGAGACTCAATAGTCTAAGTTTCCGAATGAGCTTTAAGTTGAGTGTCATTTGGCAGTCTGATTCCAGAGCCTGTGCTCTAACTACTATGCTGTTGTGTCTCATCCTTAAGCTCCTGTCCAGTTCTTCCCACCTCTAGTCAAGCTTGAGTGCGTCGACACCAAGCCTGTTAGAGTGAAGAAACCCGACCAGGACAAGTCCCTTCCTTTTTTGCCATTCAAATGTGGAGATGGATGCTGAGAGAGACAAGGCAAGGGAGCCATCGATATGCATATGACCTTCCACAGCTTGGGCATCCATGACCTGAAATAAGATCAACTCCAGTGACCTGGAAGTTGCAAATGTTTCAAGCCAGGCTCTGAATTGTTTACCAGGATTACTGACACTTTAGGTGATAACCAACCCAGGCTGACTGCGACAGCATCATTTCATTTGTGATCTCTGTGTGAACATACGTGGGTTCGCAGGACCTTTTTTTTTTTTTTTTTTTGAGTTGGAGTCTCACTCTGTCACCCAGACTGGAGTGCAGTGGCCGCTCCCGGCCACCGCAGCCTTGACCTGCTGGGCTCCGGCGATCCTTCCGCCTCAACCTTCCGAGTAGCCGGAATTACAGGTGCGCGCTACCACGCCCAGCTGATTTTTTGATTTATTGTAGAGATGAGGTCTCGCTGCCGGCGGGTCTCGAACCCGCGGGCTCAGGCAGTCCACTCACCTCAGCCTCCCAAAGGCGCGGGATTACAGGCTGAGCCATCGAGCCTGGCTCGCAGGACCTTTTAAAAAATGTCATCAAAGACTGGTATGGGGAGACAACTTTTAGGCAGCTTGGGGCAAAGCCATTGTTCTCATTGAATATTTCCATACATGTTAGTCATAGAACCTCATGTTTCTGATGCCTTTTTTAAAGCCTTACATCTGTATAGTGTTTTACAGTTTACAGAGTATTTTTTCATGTTATCCCATTTAATCCATAATAACAACCTTGTAAGCAAGGCAGGTAAAGGTGAGAAAAAGATAAATTCTGAGAGGTTAAATTTGGACCCACTTTAAGATCACACAACTAGTATTAAAACTAGCACCAGAGCTGGGTGTGGTTCACGTCTGTAATCTCAGCACTTTGGGAGGCAGAAGCGAGGGGGTTGCCTGAATTCAAGGGTTCAAGACCAGCCTGGGCAACTTGGCGAGACCTCATCTCTAGAATAAACAAAAAATTAGCCAGGTATGGTGGCACATGCCTGTAGTTCCAGCTACTTGGAAGGCTGAGGTGGAAGATCACCTGAGCCCAGTAGATCAAGGCTTCAGTGGCTATGAGTGTGCCACTGCACTCTAGCCTGGGCAACAGAGTGGACTCCTACTCAAAAAAAAAAAAACAGCACCAGAACACAATACTGCTTATCTTTCACTATAGGGAAGTGGGCTGGATGAGTGGACAGAGACAATATGGTCAGTAGGTCCCGAAAGGAACATGGCTCCTAGCCTCTTAGGACCAGGTGTTGGACATTCATCTTTGAGTTCTCACTGGGCACCACCAACAACTTTGGGACATCGCATTTAATCTTCGTACCAACCATGCAAAGTTTGCATTTTTGTTGCCTCCTTTTTAGAAACAAGGAAACTGAGAATACCCAGTGTCACATGATAATAAGCTGGGATTTAGACCACTACTTAATAGCTCTATGATTTCTCTGTGCCTCAGTTTCCTTATCTGTAAAATAGGGGTAGAGGCATTTTTTACAAAGTGTTCAGAAGGGTACCTGTCACATAGTGATGTATGTAAATGTTGGCTGTTTTAATATTTTTATTACAGGCCGGGCGTGGTGGCTCAAGCCTGTAATCCCAGCACTTTGGGAGGCCGAGGCGAGAGGATTACCTGAGCTCAGGGGTTCGAGACCAGCCTGGGCAACTTGGTGAGACCTCGTCTCTACAATAAATAAGACAATAAGCCGGGTGTGGTAGCACGCATCTGTAGTTCCAGCAACTTGGAAGGCTGAGGCGGAAGGATTGCCTGAGTCCAGCAGGTCAAGGCTATTGTGGCTATGAGCGTGCCACTGCACTCCGGCCTGGGCGACAGAGTGAGACTCCAACTCCCCCCCCCAAAAAAAAAAATATATATATATATATGTGCAAATTTCATTACTATGTTGGACTTCAATGTCAGAGTTCTTAATCACTATGTTTTATTGTCCAGTTTCTTTTTTTTTCTGTTCTAGAAAACAAAGGAATTGGAGCAGTTGGCCATTAGTGCCAACAAGCCGCAAAACAAATCAGGAGTGGACTTTAAAGCTAGTTTTGAAAAGCTCAGTCTTTACTTTCTTCCCATCTTCACTGATAAAGGAGTCAAGAAAGTAGTTATATGAGGGCTGTGAAGCAACCTTAATTACTGTGAAGTTTTCAACATCTCAGATAGCATATGAAGCTTTTGCTCCTGCCTGGCATCAGGGCAAGCTGACTGGAAGAAACAGTCTGTTGACTCACTCAGTCTGTGTCTGACCTGTGTTCTTTCCCCCTTATTTTCACACCCCTCCTATATAAGGTGAGAAACCTCACAAGTGTGAACTGTGTGACTTCACATGCCGAGACGTGAGCTACCTATCTAAGCACATGCTGACCCACTCTAACACGAAGGATTACATGTGCACTGAATGTGGCTATGTCACCAAGTGGAAACACTACCTCCGTGTGCACATGCGAAAACATGCAGGGGACCTCAGGTATGAGCTCATACATGCCTCCATCCTATCCCAAGAACTTTACGCCAACCTAAGCCAACCTTAAGCCTCCTCTGGGACCCAACTTCTGACACCAGTGCTTTCTCCAGTCTCTAAAGAGTCTCCTCCTAACACTCTTCTCTGCTCTATCTCAACTCCATTGCCTACAGCTCGCCTCTGTGACTGTAGCCCAGGCTGCATGGTGAGAGCTCTCTGGGCTCAGGGAAGGCAGTACAGACCTAGAGTATAGGCCACAAGATTAAGGTGCCAGTTTGAGTTCTCAGTTTGTCCCTGGGAAAGTAGATAGACTCTACTTTCTTAGGTCCCGGTCTTCCAAATCCAGCCACATTCTCTGACTTGTAGGCACAGCTGACTAAGGGTTTCTCTGTCGCATCCATGCCTCTGTAGGAGAATGCGAACTAGGCACAGAAATCTGCCCCGTCTGACTGTAGCCGTGTCAGCTCCTCGGAAGTCCACAGTAGGTAAAGGTGACTCATCGTTACTTTCTTTTAAGAGAGAGCATTAAGCAGGGTTTAGAACACAGGCTCTGAATCTATCCTGTCTCTGTCCCTTAATTTCTTTTTGACCAGTCTTAAGCAAGCTATTAACTTCTGGGACTTAGTTTCCTCACTTGTAAAATGGAAGTACCAGTTTTATAAGGTAATAGAAAGGAGGATGATGCATGTTCAGTACGAAGCCTGGCCCAAAGTACGTATTCAGTGACTCGTAGTTGTGATGATTGATTTATTATTGTGATTGTCTCCCCCTTTCCCTCCTTGTCAGATACCAGTGCAACCAGTGTTCCTATCGCTGCCACCGGGCTGATCAGCTAAGCAGCCACAAGCTGCGGCACCAGGGCAAATCTCTGATGTGTGAGGTGTGTGCCTTTGCCTGCAAACGGAAGTATGAGCTGCAGAAGCACATGGCTTCCCAGCACCAACCTGGCACGCCAGCCCCACTCTACCCCTGCCACTACTGCAGCTATCAGAGCCGTCACAAGCAGGCCCTGCTGAGCCATGAGAACTGCAAGCATACCCACCTCCGTGAGTTCCACTGTGCCCTCTGTGACTACCGTACCTTCAGCAACACCACCCTCTTGTTCCACAAGCGCAAGGCCCATGGTTATGTGCCTGGGGACCAGGTCTGGCAGCTCCGCTATGTCAACCAGGAGCCAGAGGGATCCAGGCAGTGCCCAACACCCCCACCAGACTCTGAGTCCTCAAGCCACCTGTCTGCTCAGCCTGAAGGGCCGGGCCATGCCCCTGGGAGTGTGGTGGACGCCAGCCTAGATCAGACCCTTCCAGAGACAGGTGAGGAGGTCCACACTGGGAGACAGGATAGCAATGAGCCTCGCCATGGGGATGACCTGGTTGGCAGCCCCAGCCCAGCAGAAATGGAAGAGGGCAGCTGCACACTACACCTAGAGGCCCTTGGAGTAGAGCTGGAACCTGTGACCGAGCCACCCCTTGAGGAGATCACTGAAACAGCCCCTGTGGAGTTCAGGCCCCTGCCTCCCTCTGGACCCCTGGGACTGGAAGGGCCAGATGGACTGGAAGGACCAGAGATGTCCAGCTTGGAAGGTGTTGGGACTTCTGGCTTGGGTGCTGAAGAAAGTCCCATTCTGGAGAAGGCAGTCCCTGAGCCCTCCAGAAATCCTCCATCCTTAGAAGAGGCCCCTAATAACTGGGTGGGAACCTTCAAGGCAACTCCACCTGCTGAGACAGCACCTTTGCCCCCATTCCCAGAGTCAGAGTCGTTACTCAAGGCCCTTAGGAGGCAGGACAAGGAGCAAGCGGAGGCATTGGTGCTGGAGGGGCGGGTGCAGATGGTAGTGATCCAGGGAGAGGGACAAGCCTTCCGCTGCCCACATTGCCCTTTTATCACACGCCGGGAAAAGGCCCTGAATTTGCACTCCAGGACTGGGTGCCAGAGCCGCCGAGAGCCCCTGCTGTGTCCCGAATGTGGGGCTAGCTTCAAGCAACAACGTGGCCTCAGCACCCACCTGCTGAAGAAGTGCCCTGTTCTGCTCAGAAAGAACAAGGGCTTGTCCAGACCAGATTCTCCCATCCCTCTGCAGCTCCTGCTCCCAGGTACTCATGCCTCAGAGGACGCAGAAGGTGGGAAGCCCCCACCTGCACCATCAGAAGTCGAGCTGCTTCCAAAAGATGCTCCCTTGGAGCTTCCCAGGGAGCCAGAAGAAACAGAGGTGCCTCTTGCCACACTCTCTGGCTCCCCAGTCCCTCCTACAGGAAACTCCTCACCCGCAGAGGCCCCTGAGAAATACCACTTTGAGCACGGCAAGTTTCACTGCAACTCATGCACATTCCTTTGTTCCCGGCTCTCCTCTATCACCTCTCACGTGGCTGAAGGCTGCCGGAGGGGGCGTGGCGGGCAAGGAAAGCGAAGGGCCCCCCAGACCCAGCCTGTGATGTCCCCCTTGATCAGTGGGGACTCTGCTCCCCTGGACAGTGGGGGTGCAGAGGCCCGCTCTGGTGATGGGGACACAGCTCTGGTTCAAAAGCAGAAGGGAGCTCGCTTCTCCTGCCCCACATGTCCCTTTAGCTGCCAGCAGGAGCGGGCTCTGAGAACTCACCAGACCCGAGGCTGCCCCCTTGAGGACTCTGGGGAGCTGCACTGTGGCCTCTGCCCATTCACTGCTCCTGCTGCCGCTGCTCTGAGGCTCCACCAGAAGCTGAGGCACCCCACCGTGGCCTCGGCTCGTGGCCCCCGGCCCCACCTGCAGTGTGGGGACTGTGGCTTCACCTGTAAACAGAGCCGTTGCATGCAGCAGCACCGGCGGCTCAAGCATGAGGGCGTGAAGCCACACCAGTGCCCTTTCTGTGACTTTTCCACCACCAGACGGTACCGGTTGGAGGCCCACCAGTCCCGACACACGGGTGTGGGCCGCATCCCCTGCAGCTCTTGCCCCCAGACATTTGGTACCAACTCAAAACTGCGCTTGCACCAGCTAAGAGTACATGACAAAACACCCACTCACTTCTGTCCGCTTTGTGACTACAGTGGCTATCTCCGCCATGACATTACTCGCCACGTCAACAGCTGCCACCGAGGTACCCCAGCCTTTGCCTGCTCCCAGTGTGAGGCCCAGTTCAGCTCAGAGACAGCACTCAAGCAGCATGCTCTGCGCCGACACCCCGAGCCTACACACCCTGCCCCTAGTTCTCCTACGGAGACCACTGAGGGCCCCCTGCACTGCTCCCGCTGTGGGTTGCTGTTCCCCAGCCCCGCAAGCCTACGAGGACATACTCGTAAACAACACCCACGGCTCGAGTGCGGGGCCTGCCAGGAGGCCTTCCCTAGCCGACCAGCACTAGATGAGCACCGGAGGCAGCAGCATTTCAGCCACCGCTGCCAGCTCTGTGACTTTGCTGCCCGGGAGCGGGTGGGTCTGGTGAAGCACTACCTGGAACAGCATGAGGAGACTTCAGCAGGGGCGGCAGCCTCCAATGGGGATGGGGATACTGGCCAGCCCCCTCTGCGCTGTCCCTTTTGTGACTTTGTGTGCCGTCATCAGTTGGTACTAGATCACCACGTGAAAGGGCACGGGGGCACCCGTCTCTACAAGTGTACCGACTGTGCTTACAGCACCAAAAACCGGCAGAAGATCACCTGGCACAGCCGCATCCACACTGGGGAAAAGCCTTACCACTGTCACCTCTGCTCCTATGCCTGTGCTGACCCATCTCGCCTCAAGGTAAGATCAGAGAACATGAGGCAGGGAGTGGAAGGAGTGCAGGCTCTGGAGTTAAACTACCTGAGTTCTCTAATCCTGACTCTTCCAAGTATTAGCTTTGTGATTTTGGACAGGTTGTTTAACTTTTCCAAGCCTCAGATTCCCCATCAGTAAAAAGGGGATAAAATCAATTTTATAGGGTTGTGGTAAAGATAAAATTCTACAAAATATGTTTGCCATGTGATAAAAGCATATACTAGGTTGGGAATAATCTGGATAATAATAACTGCTAACACTTATTGAGCACTTACTATATATCTGGCACTGTAATCCTAATCCTTGCAAAAATATGAGTAAACTAGTAAAAGGTACTTTTATTATTCCCCATTTTATAGATTGATAGACTGAGAATTAGGTGTTAGATCATCCAGAGACAAGGTTAATAACTGACAGAGCTGAGATTGTTTGTAAGTCGGATTCTCACTCTGTTGCCCAGACTGGAGTACAGTGCCACGCTGCTCACGGCCACTGCAGCCTCAACCTGCTGGGCTCAGACAGTCCTTTCACTTCAGCCTTCCAAGTAGCTGGAACCACAGATATGCACCACCACTCCTGGCTGATTTTTTTTTATTGTAGAGATGCAGTCTCACCAAGTTGCCCGGGCTGGTCTCAAACCCCTGAGCTCAGGTAATCCCCTCGCCTCCACCTCCCAAAGTACTGGGATTACAGGCCTGAGCCACTGCACCTGACTTGAGCTGAAATAGTTAAGGCAGACCTAGGAAGAGGCCGAATGGATTAGGCTAGTATCAAATTGACTAGACTAGGGGCCAGGTTGGTAAGTGGAGTGTGGATAGTATGGGAGGAGGAAGCAGGGTTATCTGCCAACAGTTTCTCTGCCTGTTTGCCCCTGCTTCCACATCCAGTGAGTACAAGGGGTATATATTTTCTGCTTTTTACCCCTCCCTATTAAAGTACCACATGCGGATTCACAAGGAGGAACGGAAGTACCTGTGCCCTGAGTGTGGTTACAAGTGCAAGTGGGTCAACCAGCTCAAATACCACATGACCAAGCACACAGGTGAGTCTGTATGGTTTTGACAGGCCTAAAGTGTCCCCTGTTCCTTGGCAAACCTAACCTCACTGAGGTGGTATATATCCTTGCTCAGATTCAGGGCCAACATGGATTTTCATATCAGGAATAGGAGATAGGCTGGGGGAATGTGTAGCAGAATGACTTCTCAACTCACTGAAGACCTCAGAATCAGAAGAGGGGTAAACCTGATAGGCTGGGCATATGTGCTTTGCAAAAGCTTCCCAGGTGACTTTGGTACAAGGTCACCCATCCCCCATTGGGAACCCCCAACTCAAACTTGAGTGACGGAGGGCAGATCTACCTGGTTCTTACACAGACATGACAGAACTGTTGCAAGAAGGAGAGAGCAGAAGGCTCCCCTGTTCCAATTCATCCTTTTCTTCTAGGTGTGGAATCCACAAACCATGGGTTCTCTCAAAAGCACACAATCGTGTGCCTGTGGTTGTTGCATGTGGTCCCCCATATGTGGAAGAATTAATCAGCTGCATTTTAAGGCCCTCTGCTTCTATGAATGCCGCTTCTTTCACCACCACCTCTTCCCTCTTAAGCATTTTTTTTAACTTTTTGAATTGAACAAGTAGTATAGTTAAATGAATTCTCAAGTTCTGTAAGTACCCTGTGACCAAAAGAGGGTTGGAATTTCCCACTGGAAACCCTTCCATATGTGAGAATTCATTACTAGAAGGTGGCTAGTTGGTTAGAGGTTCAGTTAGTGATCAGCATTCATCGGGCACCCACATACACAAGGGACTAAGTTGGGAGAAGGGCACAGACATGTCAGACAGGACTGGAACATTCCAAATATATGGTCATTAGGCAGCTTGCTGCTTGTGTTCTTTATATCCCAGGATCACAGTGACTTTTATGGCTCACTGAACCTTGTTCCACCCCCTTTCAGTGGTGATTTATCCTCTGTCCTGTAGGACTGAAGCCATACCAGTGTCCCGAGTGTGAGTACTGCACCAACCGGGCTGATGCACTACGTGTGCACCAGGAGACACGGCACCGGGAAGCCCGGGCCTTCATGTGTGAGCAGTGCGGCAAGGCCTTCAAGACGCGCTTTCTGCTGCGCACCCATCTTCGCAAGCACAGTGAGGCCAAACCCTACGTGTGCAACGTGTGCCACCGTGCTTTCCGCTGGGCTGCCGGCCTGCGCCACCACGCCCTTACCCACACTGACCGCCATCCCTTTTTCTGCCGCCTCTGCAGCTACAAGGCCAAGCAGAAATTCCAAGTGGTCAAGCATGTGCGTAGGCACCACCCTGACCAGGCCGACCCAAACCAAGGTGTGGGCAAAGACCCTACCACTCCCACAGTGCACCTGCATGATGTACAGCTAGAGGATCCCAGTCCTCCTGCCCCTGCTGCTCCCCCAACTGGACCTGAAGGCTGAGAGCCTACTCCGCCTCCAGGACAGAAAGAAGATGTGCTCTGAGATGTGCAGGCCGGAACCAGTGCTAGCCTGAGGAGCTCAGGGTCTAAGGAAGGGCCGAAAGAAGGACTGTTTGGGGGCATCAGGGTGACTAGAGCCCTCTTGGGACTGTGGTTATAGTACATTGAAATTATTGGCTATATAAAAGAGGGACATGGACTACAACACTGATTTCTTGTTGAGGCACATTATTTTTAACCTGTGAGTTCCCAGTTTCTTCACCATCTGTCAGAATTCCTGGCTATAAGATCTTGATTTTACCCACACCATTTTCTCTTTCCTTCTTACTTTGTCAAGTCCTGTTTTCTTTCAAAACCTTCAAAACAGTTGTAACTAACTGCATGTACTATTTTGCCTAATGCTCTATAAAGCATGTTAAACAGAACAGGTATTAGGTTATAGACGTGTCCAAATCCCTGTCTTAACATTTCAAGACTGTCATCTTGATCTGCTCTGTCACTTCTTAGACCTCTGCCTCTCCTTTGTCTCCTTCTGTCTCCTTCAGTATTGGCTGTGGAACAGGCCTAGTTCTACCTTCTCTCTGTCCTTGAGCCTTCTGTCCTCTCCTGGCCCCTGCTCTGCACCCTACTTCCAAGCCTCTTTACCGGTACCTATAGAGAGAGGATTGCTACCCACTAAGCCTCCTCCTCCTCCTGAAAGCAATTTTAATTCAACAGCAATCTTCAGACTGGCTTAGCAGCTGCACTAAGAAACTAAAGCACAAAGATACTGTGAAAGGCAGGTTATTGAGGGGGAAGGCTCTAATTTAGAATTCCAAGTGCCTCACAATATAATCTGACAGTACTTCACTATATAACTGGTTATCTAAACGGCTGCACACACTGGAAAAATTAAAGAGGGTACTTAGTAATAATTATGCTGGGACAACCGATGTAAACCTGGGTAATTCCAAGCAAACTTCAGGAAGGCTGGGACCACGTAACCCCTTCGTCTTCTCTTGCCCTGCTTCTTAAAAGCTGTACTCTGTCCTTCCTATGTAGCACATGTCCTTCCTATGTAGCACATGTCCTTCCTATGTAGCACATGTAGGAGGTCCCTTGGAAGCTTTTTACATTTTCCTTGTCCCACCTGACTACCCAAATGTCCCCCAAACTTTTGTAGTTTCCCTTCTTGCCCAACAATGACAAACCATACTCGAGCCAAATTGGAGAGAGAAACTCTATTTATACCAGCAGGGCTAAGAAGAAGCAGTCCAGTGGGGATTCTTAGCGCTGTGCAGTGTTATCTTGAGAGTCATAGTACAATCCTGGGGTCAGGTCTCCTTCCCTAACCTTTGCCCAGGGACACTTGAGCCTTGACTTATCCTTCCCTTGGCTCTGGGCTTTGAAAAAGTTAGGGGTGGAGGGGATGATGCTTCTTTAGGTTTCTCTGCTCCAAATCCCTCTCCAAATTTCTAGTTGTAATCTGCCTTCGCACCGGATTTGATGGGAAAGATTAGTCGTAGATCTGGGTATGGAATTGAGCCTACAGCAAGAGGAAGGGGGGAACTCCAGTATAGAGTACACAAAGGAAAAGGGCAGGAAAGATACCAAAGGCTGTGAAAACAAAGGAAGGGAAGAGAAAGGTGAAAAATCAGGTCCCAGATTTGCTTGTTGGGAAGGATGAGGTAGTTTTGTGCCTAGGAATGCACAATCCAAAGCTTGGTTTTCACCACCTCCATTTGCTCTCTAGAACATCCTTCTCAGCTTTTCTCACCATCTAAAGCCAGCACACTTGCCCTTCCCGTGAAGTGCCCACCTCAGGATTCAACCTCCTCCAGGTCTTCCCGTATGCAGATATACACGAAGATAGAGGCTGGGTGGAGGCTGGTGCCATCCTTGGAGAGCAGGTGTATGTGGCGGTAACCTGGAAGTTGGTAAGAGAACAGCATTAGGAAGGCAGCCAGAGCTGGGGTGTTGACCAGGGGTCAAAGGACTGGCTCACCTTGTTGCATGCAGGTCCAAGGCAGGGTGTACTGACCAATAAAGTCATTTCGAGACTTCCAGTCATAATCCTCTACCACAAAACGCAGCACAGTGAGTTCAGGCACCAGGACCCGAAAGCATAGTGTCTGTCCCCAGTATGGATTAAAACCTAAGTTGAGACGTAGAAGAAAATGAAGGGACAGACATTATTGAATATCTTCTTTAGACCTATGCTGGGCTGCTTTCCCTGTGTTTTCATTTAATCTAGACGTTAATCAGAATTTTACAGGCGAGGAAACAAAGACTCAGAGTGGGTAAGCAATTTTCCCAAGTCACTGGAGCTTTCAAGTGAAAAGCCAGTATTCTTTGTACTGTTCCACACTACCTCCGTGGCTGGGGAGGGTGTAGGAGGACATGCAATAACAGACTAATAACATAGACTATACTTAGTGGAGGGCAGGACAGAAGGATTGGTCATGCTCCCACTACCTTCCTCCCGAGCACTGCTAGTCTCTCACCATTGTTCTCCACATGATTGGTCTCTTGTCGTGTTGTATCTGGACGAACACCAAAGATCTGTACTTTCACCAGTGGATCCACAATGGACCCCTCTTTGGTCTTGTCCACTTTTGGGAGTTGCTGACCACTGATCACCTGTAACCAGGGCTCTGAAAACTCAGAGTTTCTGCTCAGCATAGCCCCTGCTCCAGCTCTCACACCCCAGGGGAGAAGACACAGGACCCTGCACTACAGCTTTTTGGTTTGCAAAACTAATCCTCCATAGGTCATATGTTTTCTTCTGGTATTCTGTCTGTAATTTAAAATGCTTCAAGTAGAAATTTTATAAGGTTTGAAAGTAGGCATGTTCTTGACAGCAGCCTCTTTTCGTGTGTACTAGGAGTTATAAGCACTTTATATATTAACTGCTGCTATCCTTACAACCCTGTGCAAAACAGTAGTATTACTCCCATTTTGCAGGTGAGCAGACTGAGGTACTGGGAGGTTAAGGAACTTGCCCAACATCACACAACTAGGAAGTAGGCTTGAAGCCAGGTAGGTAGCTCCAAAGTCTAAATCTAGGTGCTGTAAACAATCAGATTATCATGTCTTCACGAGGGGCTTTTCAACCAATTATACTCCTGTTGTGCCTAGCCAACTCGTCCCCCACTTCTATCCCAGTTATCCCAGTTTCTCCCCAACAGTTTCTCTTTCCAACGTACCTGGATTAAAAGGGTCTGGGCCTTGAAAGGGCTGATGGGCCTCTCAGGGTGGAAGGAACTCTGGGCATCACACAGAAAGTCTGGCTTTAGCACATAGCCACAGCTGCCATTCTGGTGGAAGAGCCCATCACAGATGTCCATTTCAAGCCCGGCAGTCTGCATATTCATAGCCACTGAGGGAGGGCCCAGGAGGAAAGTAGAGAAAGATCCACCTTGGGGGCTTTCCAGCCCCTTTCAGGGAATTGAGATAGGTATTGGGTGCAAGAGCGCCTGCTGGGAATACCTCCATTGATAGCATCTTTCTCAGCCTAGCAATCTTGAAGCATTCTCCCAGCCTTACCCCACTAGGGAACTTCTTTCCCACCTGCTGCTTCTCCACCCCCTCCTCCCAGTCCCTGCTGTCTCCTCACCCATCTGGCAGCCTGCATTCCAGAGTTCCCGGGGGTTGTAGTTGGAAGAGTCTGTCCTCAGGCCACTGGGATACACACGGCTTAACTGCCAGGTGTTGTGCTGCACAAATTCATTGCCTGTAAAAGGGTGAAAGGGTGGAGATGGAAGTGGAGCTGATCTTCCCACTTCCCTGGTTTTCAGGACCATGCCTACCCACTTTACTCTTCTTCCCGATGTCTTCTGAGGCTGGCCCCAGAAAATTTCAATGTGCCTCTCTACTCTGTTCCATCCAGACTCTCTTCCTCCCCCTGCAGCCTTGAGCCCACCATTTATAACTCCTCTGCCCCTACCTACTCTGAAGAGTTTCTTGGCTCCTTCTCCTTTTTCTTGGGACTTACCTGCCCCATCAAACGTGAATCTACCCATCCCACTTCCCTCCCCATCCCTCCGTTTTGGTCCTGACCAGCTTCCTTGATGAGCCTCTTTGCCTTGGTTTCAGAGAAGGATGACATCTCATAGAAGTGGTAGTTCTCCTTTGAATGAGTGAAGCTGTGAAATGAGACAGACTTCAAGTAGACAACCAGAGCAGAGAGGGCTGGACACAAGATGGGCCTGGATTTCTGTAGAAGAAGAAAGTGGAAAGGAAGAGGGACTTGAACCCCCAGCAGTCTAAGAGGGAAGAAGCTAATGGCCATCCAACCTAAGCCTCTTCCCACTGCCTCCCCACTGCATTCTCCCTCCTGCCTCACCTGCTGGGACAAGAGAAGGGACTCAGGCTTGGAAATAGAAGCCTGGGCCACAATCTGACAACAGATAAGCGGACAAAACGGCGGGTGCGTCACAACCTGGGGGTGGGAATGGGAATAAAGGCAGTCTGCATATACTGCTGGGGTCAGTTTCAGCCTCTGGGCTTGCAGGGTTTGCTCTATGTTGCATCCTGGATAGGGGTTTTTAATTTATTATTATTCTTAAATAGAGAGGCATCACTCTCCCTACCTCTCTTTAAAAAAAAAAAAAAGTAATAATCTTTGGTCAAATATATATTAATCCAGATAGGATGTCAGGGAATACAAATGGTCATGGAAGTCACACCTGGAAGGACACGTGTGTCCCAGAGTAATATCTTTGGATTTGTCTCCTGATTCCCATTTCCATCCCCGGATTATGCAGCAAGTTAGACACCACAGCCCCAGAGAGAACAAGATAAGCTAGAAGTCAGCTGAGTGAGCCAAGCAAGTGCACAGAGAGAGAAATGCAGACTTCAAACCAGGGTCTTGGAGGTCCCACCAATGGCACCTCTTCTCCTTCTGCCTCCCTTCCCCATAAGGAGATGGACAACTCTTGCACCACCTTAGAGACTTCACCTTCCCCACCTCAAAGCTCTCCCCTTCCTGCTCCTCTTTGGCTATTTCTGGCTCTTTCTCAAACTCAGCCTTTCCAAGAAGCCTCTAATTAAGCCCACTTTGGTTGAGGTCACAGTAATTATTCCAGTAACCCCTACTTACCCAATATAATAATGCTACACATAAAATTACACACAACCCGTCATTGGTTTTCAAACTGGCCTTAAGGAGACTGGAAAGTACAAAGCTATCTCAGGAGACACCAGGGGACCCAGAAGACAGTCAAATGAGTACTTCAACTAAGATAGTTCTGCATTTATTTTGTATACTGAGCTTCCATATAAGATTTAATTAAAAAAAGATTTCATGGGTCAAAGCAGTTGGAAAGCCACTGCAATATATATATGGCAATCTATAACATATGATGCTGATGTATGCATTCATATACTCCTTTCATTGGGAGGAAGGGTCATTTTGCTCTTTGGCCCTCTACCTTGCTTGGCTCTAGTCTCCTCACAAATGGGCTCTTGGCTTGTAGTAGAAACTGACCATATGCCACAGCAGAAAGACCACTCCTGGCCTACCTTTTCCTTTTTATCCTTACTCCGAGGACTCAGCTCCTGGGGCTCAGTCCCAAACCGGGGTTCCACCACCAATTCTGACTCCTCCTCTCCTTCCAGCTCAGGCTCTGGCTCCTCTTCCTCTTCCTCTTCCTCGAGATCTTCCTCAAGTGTCTCTAACTTCTTCCCCTTCACCAGTATCTTCCTCCGAAGCTCCTAGGGGACAAAAATGATGAGGCCTGTCTACCTGTCTGCTCTGAGGCCTTCCTAAGGGATCTCTTGAGGTCCCATTGTCTCAAAGGTAGAGGAAGTGAGTGAGTGGTCAGAAGATCTCTCAGAAAGAGATCAGCTGCCTGATATGTACACTAGGAATTCCCAGAAAAAAAGCAAAGCTTTTTTTTTTGGACAGGGTCTTGCTCTGTCTCCCAGGCTGGATTACAGTGACACAATCAGCTCACTGCAGCCTCAACCTCCTTGGCTCATGCAGTTCTCTTGCTTCAGCCTCCTGAATAGCCAGGACTACGGGTATGCAACATCATGCCTGACTAATTACTAAATTTTTTGTAGAGAGAGAGAGTCATTGTGTTGCTCGAGCTCCTGGCCTCAGACCCTCAAAGTGGTAGGATTACAGGTATGAGCCACCACACCCAGCCTAAGCAAACTTTTATCATCTCTAACCATGTGGAAAAAAATAAATGTGGATCCCTACCTCACATTTGACACACTAAAAATTCCTCCTAGATTAGAGATTTACATGCAAATATGAAGAACATAAGAAAATGAGCATAGAGAACCTTTGTGAATAATCTTATGGTGAGAAGGCCTTTAGAAATGTGGTGTGAAAACTCAGAAACCATGGGTAAATAATATAGAATAATTTATTTTATTTATTTATTGAGTTGAAGGCTCACTCCACTGCCCAGGCTGGAATGTAGTGGCACGCTCACGGTCACCCCAGTGTCAACCTGCTGGGCTCAGGCGATCCTTCTGCCTCAGCACTCCAAGTAGCCGGAACTATGGGTGCGCACTACCACGCCCGGCTAATTTTTTGCTTTTATGTAGAGATGAGGTCTTGCCAAGTTGCCCAGGCTGATCTGGAACCCATGGGCTCAGGCAATCCCCTCACCTCGGCCCCCCGAAGTGCTGGGATTATAGGCTTGAGCCACCACGCCCAGTCAATATCAAATAATTTAAAAGAAGAAAACATAAACTTTTTTTAAAAATTAAAATGTAACTTTTTCTTTCAGTGTTGATCATTATGAAACATCTCACTCTGGAAATTATTTGTGGTTACTGTCTTCTAGTTGAAATGTAATTATATAATTTGATTTTTTTCCAGAAGGCAACTTGGCAATAGCAACCAAAATTGCCAGAATGCAAATTCTTCAACTTAGCAATTTTGCCTCTAGGAATCCATTTCTTTTTTTTTTTTTTTGAGTTGGAGTCTCACTCTGTCACCCAGACAGGAGTGCAGTGGCCGCTCCCGGCCACCACAGCCTCGACCTGCTGGGCTCCGGCGATCCCTCCGCCTCAGCCTTCCAAGTAGCTGGAACTACAGGTGCGCGCTACCACGCCCGGCTGGGAATCCATTTCAAAGAAAAAGTAAATGGACAAAGCTGTATGTACAAATGAAAAGTTATAAACAGGGCTGGGGAGGTGGGATTAAGATGGCCAATATGAGGCAGCTAGAATGTATTTCCCCTATGGAGAAACCAAGATAGAGTTTCCTCAGCACCCAGAGAGGAACGGGACCAGTAGCCCACCCCACAAGTCATCAAAATAGTAATAATAATCACATAGTTCAAAGAAGAGAAAAATCCATCAACTCGGGCTGGAACTAGCTAGACTTTCACCTGAATCACCACGGACCATCAGCAGCCTCCGGATGCAGTGGGGAAGGTAAGTGAAGGTAATACAGGGGGGTTCTGTGCTCCTGCTGCATATTGGAGGGCCCCTGAGACTTTTGGAACTCCAGTCCCAAAGCTGGAAACCTCCTGACCCACAGCTGTGTTCAGCTGAAACCCATGCAGAGTGGTGTAGCACCAGCTGCCATATCCCAGGAACTCAACCACGGTGTGGCTGCTTTCTAGCCAGTTAGAGAGGAGATGCGCCTTAAGGGTAAGGTTCACAGTGGCAGACAGTTCCAGGCTGGGGCAGCCTACTGTGAGAACAGTTAAGGCCCTGAGGCCATCTGCACTTTGACATTCAAAAGGCAAACAGCTTGAGGCTAAAGCAGGAAGTTGGGTAGGGATGTGTTGCCATGGTAATCTCTTACTCCCCAAGTAAACTTTTCTATGCCTGCCCTACATAACAGCGTTACCCCAGTGGCCTGGAACTCTCTCCTAATCCACACTGGGATAGCCAAGAGTGCACACTTATGGGGTGCTTGAGCTACTTCTCCCCCCCCCCCCACAGCACTCCCCTCTAAGGCTCAAAGTAGAGAAATTGGATGATCCCCAGAGCCCCGCCCTCTGTCTTGGTTGGCTGAGCACTTCCATAGGCAGCACTCGCTATGTAGAAACCTCACAGTCACCAACGCAGTTGGCTTTCTCACACGAGCGCCACCTTCTGGCCAGAGGTGAACAGCACATCTCACCACATTCGTTGAAAGCCTGATCGCAGACCCCAGCCAGCACTGCTTTCCAAGCCACTGCAGCCACCCAGGATGCTGTGAGCCAGTGCAAGTTCCCAGCACAGGACTGCCACAGATAGCAACTGAGAAACTCACCACACCAAGGCTATCTATAACCTCAGCTCCCTGCCAACCCCAAGAAGAAATCGTCTACTCAAATGAGCAGGAGCCAGAAAATTAACTGACAATATGAGAAAACAAAGTTCTCCAACACCTCCAAAAAAACATACTAATTCTTCAACAGTGAACCTTAACAAAAATGAAATCTTTGAAATTCCAAGCCGGGCTCGGTGGCTCAGCCTGTAATCCCGCGCTTTGGGAGGCCGAGGTGAGTGGATTGCCTGAGCCCGCGGGTTTGAGACCCACCTGGGCAACTTGGCGAGACCTCATTTCTACAATAAATCAAAAAATTAGCTGGGCATGGTAGGGCGCGCCTGTAGTTCCAGCTACTTGGAAGGCTGAGGCGGAAGGATCGCCGGAGCCCAGCAGATCGAGGCTGTAGTGGCCGGGAGCAGCCACAGCACTCCAGTCTGGGTGACAGAGTGAGACTCCAACTCAAAAAAAACTCCAAAAAACAAAAAACTGAAATTCTGGCCAGGTACGGTGGCTCAGCCTGTAATCCCAGCACTTTGGGAGGCCAAGGCGAGAAGATTGCCTGAGCACAGGGGGTTAAGACCAGCCTGAGCAACTTGGTGAGACCCTGTCTCTACAAAAAATCACAAAAAAATTAGTTGGGTGTGGTGGCATGCATTTGTAGTTCCAGCTACTTGGAAGACGGAGGCAGAAGGATCGCCTAAGCCCAGCAGGTCAAGGCTGTGGTGGCTGTGAGCATGCCACTGCACTCCAGCCTGGACAACAGAGTGAGACTCCAACTCAAAAAAAAAAAAAAACCCAAAAAACTGAAATTTTATAAATGAATCACTCAGGGAAGTACAAAATGATGTAGAAAGTTTTAATAGTAGACTAGAACAAGCAGAAGAAAAGATCTCAGAACTTGAAGACAAGGCTTTTGAATTAATCCAAGTGGACAATAAAGAATCAAGAGGACAGAAAATCTCCAAGAGGGGCAACCCCTTTGGGTGCCCTCCCACTGTAGTAGCTTTTCTGTCCTCTCAGTAAATCCTGCTTTCTCACTTTCTGGCTGTCCGTGTCCCTCATTTTTCCAGGCATGAGACAAGAATCTCGACCCTTAAGAGCTGTGACATGAAGAGTTGCAACCTGAAGAGCTGCAGAAGATCATCGGAGCCGAACAGCCGTGCACCAGGAGAGCTGCCAAAGGTGAGACTCCGAAGCTGAAACACCCAGGGGGCTAGGCTTGCCAGCCCACCGAACCAGCAACACTCTCAGGGCTTGGCTTGCCAGCCCATTAGAGCCAACACTCCGGGGGCTAGGCTTGCCTGCCCACTGAATCTTCACACTCTCAGGACTTGACTTGCCAGCCCATTAGAACTGACACTTCTGAGGCTAGGCTTACCAGCCCTTCAATGACCCTCTCTGAGGCTTGGCTGGCCAACCCATTAGAGCTGACACTCTCGAAGCCCAGGCTGACCCGAAAAATCTGCATCAGTTTTGGCACCCAAACATGGGGCTCAATGGAAGGGTTACTGGAATAGACTTGTGGATCCATCACACTAGAATGAAAGCCTGAAGTCCAGAAGAAGTTGCCTCAGCTAACCCAGAAAAGCATATAGAATAAGATTGTAAAAGCTAGAGGCCATCAAACTCCAAATGGTGACACAGATGGAACCTTGTATGAAAGCTTCTTTCTACCAAGAATCTTTAGATCACCCTCCGGAGGATCCCTAGCTGCCATCCCCATACGATGCACATGATCAGCAGGAAGTAGCCAGACTGGTCATTGTCCTTACTCCCTAACAGCAGTTAGAGTTACTCCAGAGCAGGGAATGAGATAGGAGATAGCTAGAGAAAGTCTAGGCAGACAGACAGGTGGGTCCTCTGTTAACAATGTAGCAAACTTCTGGCAGGCCTCTCAGGCTCAGCCTTGGTAAACAAGCTGCCTGTGAGCCGCTCAAGCTAGAGCTTAAGTACTAACTGCTGGGATTGAAAAGCAACCAATCACCATTAGGCCCCTACCTCCTGCCAATTGGTCCTTAATACTGACCAATCAGAATAGCTAATGCTAGTCAATTAGCTTGGACTTAGGGTTATATAAACACCAGGTTTTCGACCCCAGAGAGGCAACCCCTTTGGGTTCCCTCCCACTCTGGGAGCTTTTCTATCCTCTCAATAAATCCTGTTTTCACACACACACACACACACACACACACACACACACACACACAAAGAAAGAAAGAAAGAAAAGAAAATCTCCAAGATATGTGGGATTGTGTAAAACATCCAATCCTAAGAATCATAGGTGTTCTTGAGGAAGAAAAGAAAGCAACAGGTTTAGAAAACCTATTTGAGGGAATAATTGAGGAAAACGTCCCTGGTCTTGCCGGATTTAAGCATACAGATACAAGAAGCCCAAGAACTCCTGGAAGATTCATTGCAAAAAGGTAATCCCCAAGAAATATAATCATCTAGTTAAGTAAAGTTAATGTGAAGGATAGAATTTTAAGAG